CCTCCAAGGTCACACTTAGAGGTCAAAGATTAACATAGTCTGTTATAGGGTATATTTTGTGTCCGATCTATAACTTCTTCATAGTTCAAGGGATTTTGAAAATACTTGGCACAAATAGTTACAATAATAAGACGATATGTCATGCACAACACCTGCACCCCTACCTCCAAGGTCAAGGTCACACTTAGAGGTCAAAGCTTAACATGATAGATTTTTAAATTCCGTGTTTCATTTTATTTCTTTAATAAATTTATTGTTGCATTTGCAGATCTAGCATTGATCATAATTTTGGACTGAAAGTCCTGAGATCCATACCTCAATCTTTTGAAAAAGCACAATTTTATGCTTCATATAAAACTTCCCCGAGGCGGGGGACGTTGGTAACTCTGTTACAAATTCTTGTTTGTCATAATAATGTGTTGTGACCATCTGACCACTGAGTCAGAGCTTACTTGGAGAAGATAAGAAATTATTCCATAGATGACCATTTGAAATTCAGAAAAGGGGAAAATGATCAATTAAAATGGTTAACACCTTGACATATGAGAAGTCATGACTTCAGAAAATTCAATAATTGTCAGTTATTTGTAAGTCTTTGATGTTGAGGAATATGAAAATGCCAACAGATGTTTTCATGGTCACTTAAGTTCAGGTGTCACTTAGTTCAGATCATATTTACTAAGTTCAGGAAGGGAGATTACTCTTATAAAAGGACTGTTATATAACTTACAATACCATTTGACTTTGGTCTTGATACAAAAACAAGTAAAGTACTGTTGAATTGCTGTTAAGAAGTTATAAAATATAATTTGGTTAAAAGGTTAATTGTACCTATTTAAGGGGAGATATCTGAAATGATTGTAAAAAGTCCATGGCCTTTACTTTCATTATCAAGTTTTAGTATGGAGCCATTAGCGCTTGTGCAATATATATCCAATTTGCCATAATACAATAACCGTGTCTTTTATATAAGTGCAACAGCTGAGAAGACTGGGGTAACAGGGGAGATAATTTAAGAAAAAATTGTAATTACTATCTCAGACTTGGGTACCATGACAACTTCAGATTTATCATCTTGCTAAAATAGGTTGACTAAATCTATTACGGAAGTTCATAAAAAGAATAAAACTGGAAACAATCAAATGCAGCAGTCATAAGAGAATCAAGGTCTTGTTTTACTAAATGTGTGGTATGAAGCCATTTTTACGTTGTGTCGAATCAGTACATCCATGGCATGGTGGGTTGACCTTACTCCTGGTGCCTTGTGGATTCAGTCCCAGCTTTTGCTAGATATAATGAGAGGTTCATGGGTTTACTAAAGTACCAGCTAGAGGTCCATGGGTTTCCTAACGGGCCAGCTTGTGCTGGATATAATGTGAGGTCCATGGGTCTACTAAAGTACCAGCTTGTGCTAGATATAATAAGAGGTTCATGGGTCTACTTAAGTACCAGCTTGTGCTGGATATAATAAGAGGTTCATGGGTTTACTTAAGTACCAGCTTGTGCTAGATATAATAAGAGGTTTATGGGTTTACTTAAGTACCAGCTTGTGCTAGATATAATAAGAGGTTCATGGGTTTACTTAAGTACCAGCTTGTGCTGGATATAATAAGACGCTCATGGGTCTACTAAAGTACCAGCTTGTGCTAGATATAATAAGAGGTTCATGGGTCTATTTAAGTACCAGCTTGTGCTGGATATAATAAGAGGTTCATGGGTTTACTTAAGTACCAGCTTGTGCTAGATAAAATAAGAGGTTTATGGGTTTACTTAAGTACCAGCTTGTGCTAGATATAATAAGAGGTTTATGGGTTTACTAAAGTACCAGCTTGTGCTAGATATAATAAGAGGTTTATGGGTCTACTAAAGTACCAGCTTGTGCTAGATATAATAAAACACTCATGGTCTACTTAAGTACCAGCTTGTGCTAGATATAATAAGAGGTTTATGGGTCTACTAAAGTACCAGCTTGTGCTAGATATAAGAGGTTCATGGGTCTACTAAAGTACCAGCTTGTGCTAGATATAATAAGAGGTTCATGGGTCTACTAAAGTACCAGCTTGTGCTAGATATAATAAGAGGTTCATGGGTCTACGAAAGTACCAGCTTGTGCTAGATATAATAAGAGGTTTATGGGTCTACGAAAGTACCAGCTTGTGCTAGATATAATAAGAGGTTCATGGGTCTACTAAAGTACCAGCTTGTGCTAGATATAATAAGAGGTTTATGGGTCTACTAAAGTACCAGCTTGTGCTAGATATAATAAGAGGTTCATGGGTCTACTAAAGAACCAGCTTGTTCTAGATATAATAAGAGGTTTATGGGTCTACTAAAGTACCAGCTTGTGCTATATATAATAAGAGGTTCATGGGTCTACTAAAGTACCAGCTTGTTCTAGATATAATAAGAGGTTCATGGGTCTACTAAAGTACCAGCTTGTTCTACATATAATAAGAGGTTTCATGGTCTACTAAAAGTACCAGCTTGTGCTAGATATAATAAGAGGTTCATGGGTCTACTAAAGTACCAGCTTGTTCTAGATATAATAAGAGGTTCATGGTCTACTAAAGTACCAGCTTTGTGCTAGATATAATAACAAGGTTTATGGTCTACTAAAGTACCAGCTTGTTCTACATATAATAAGAGGTTCATGGTCTACTAAAGTACCAGCTTGTTCTACATATAATAAGAGGTTCAGGGGTCTACTAAAGTACCAGCTTGTGCTAGATATAATAAGAGGTTCATGGGTCTACTAAAGTACCAGCTTGTGCTATATATACTAAGAGGTTCATGGGTCTACTAAAGTACCAGCTTGTGCTATATATACTAAGAGGTTCATGGGTCTACTAAAGTACCAGCTTGTGCTAGATATAATAAGAGGTTTATGGGTCTACTAAAGTACCAGCTTGTTCTAGATATAATGGAAGGTTTATGGGTCTACTAAAGTACCAGCTTGTGCTAGATATAGTAAGAGGTTCATGGGTCTACTAAAGTACCAGCTTGTGCTAGATATAATAAGAGGTTTATGGGTCTACTTAAGTACCAGCTTGTGCTATATATAACAAGCAATTATCATAGTATTGCAAGCAATCCATAAGTCCCCTACCGGTTAGAACCCCATCAACATTCTGAAGGGCCATTGGCCATTCACTAATGTTTCAATTTTTCTCCATTTTAAGTAAACTTGTTGGAAAAGTTCTTTAAAAGTGATCACAGGAAACAGTTTTTATGAACAGAAAGACAGACGGACTGAAGGACACTCTAAAGTTAATATTTAAAACATCCCTGTTACCAAAATATAACATTTTAAAAGCAAAATTCTTAAAGCGGAGATAACTCTTGAATTAAAGATGCAATTTCATAAAAATTTTCAGCTCTTTTTGACTAATCACAAATATTGTTATATTTGCCATGTTTTAAGCCTATTTGTTGCCAAGGCAACTGATATTTTTTCAAAATAGGAAGAACAGATAAGACATGCATAATCTCAAGACTGCTATCTACCTTTATGTCAAGTTTCATTAAAATATTTCCAGTATTTTTTGAGTTATCACTGGATTCAGTTTATGTGTAAAATTTGCCATATTTTCAGTCTATGTGTTGCCATAGCAACCAGAATTCTCAACATAGGAAGAAAAGAAAAAGACTTGCATAATCTCAAGACTGCCATCTACCCATAATTATGTCAAGTTTCATAAAAATATTTCCAGTACTTTTTGCTTTATCACTGGATCCAGTTCATATGTGTAAAATTTGCCATAATTTCAGCCTATTTGTTGCCATAGCAACCAGAATTCTCAACATAGGAAGAAAAGAAAAAGACGTGCATAATCTCAAGACTGCCATCTACCCATATGTCAAGTTTCATAAAAATATTTCCAGTACTTTTTGCTTTATCACTGGATCCAGTTTATGTGTAAAATTTGCCATATTTTCAGCCTATTTGTTGCCATAGCAACTAGAATTTTCAACATAGGAAGAAAAGAAAAAGAGGTGCATAATCCCAAGACTGCCATCTACCCATATGTCAAGTTTCATAAATATATTTAAAGTACTTTTTGCGTTATCACTGGATCCAGTTTATGTGTAAAATTTGCCATATTTTCAGCCTATTTGTTGCCATAGCAACCAGAATTTTCAACATAGGAAGAAAAGAAAAAGACGTGCATAATCTCCATACTGCCATCTATCCATATACCAAGTTTCATAAAAATATTTTCAGTACTTTTCAAGTTATCGCGGGATCCAGTTTTGTGGACTGACGGACTGACAGACAGACGGACGGACGGACAGACGGACGGAGGGTAAACCTAAAGTCCCCTCCGGTAAACCGGTAGGGGACTAATAAGAGGTTCATGGGTCTACTAAAGTACCAGCTTGTGCTAGATATAATAAGAGGTTCATGGGTTTCAACGGGCCAGCTTGTGCTGGTATAATGAAAAGTCCATGGGTTTACTCAATTGCAAGTTTGTGCAGGATATAATGGGAGGTCAATGGGTTTACAAGTGCCAGCTTGTGCTGGATATAATGGAAAGGTTATAGGCTTACAACAGTGAGTACGTGTAATGTTTATAATAGAGGTCCACGGGTTTAGTAAGAACATGCTGTATATAATACATTTCTGGGGGGTCATTCACAGGCATTCTTCCTCTACTATTTAGTATGATTACTGTTGTTGCTCTAAAAACTTCAGAACACATTTCAACACTATATGAGCTGCGTCATGACAAAACCAATGTAATGCGTTTGCGACCAGCATGGATCAAGACCAGCCTGCGCATCCTCACAGTCTGATCAGGATCCATGCTGTGCGCTTACAAACCCTATAACAAGTATAAACCCTATAACAAGTAGAGGATCTGATAGCGAACAGCATGGATCCTGATCAGACTGCGCGAATGTGCAGGCTGGTCTGGATCCATGCTGGTCGCAAATGCACTATGTTGGTTTTGTCATGACGCGACTCATATTATTCTTTTTACAAAACACAAACAAGAGTGTATGTATTGAATATTTATTTAGTATATATAGACAACAATCCCAAGTGGGCTCTAAAATAAATCTTAGAAAAAAAAGAAAAACAAGTTCCATTACAAATATGTTAACAAAACAGGTACATGAAAATCAAAAGACTGGTGATTTTACCGTAAGTAAACACCCAGCTTTCAATCGAAAAACCAAAAGCCAGTCACTAAAAAATGTATCTAATATAACAACAAAAACAAAATATCACTTGATGTACATTTGTATCTAACCAATGTTTCAAGTGACTTGATAACAGCAAAGGGTACAATAGACAGTATTATTCTTTTTTTATATGTGTTTCAATACACCTTTACCTCATCAAATTTGTGAAATAACAGACTAGTGCTATTGTGAACTTGAGTGCCTGTTCTTAGGTTGAGGTAAGGGAAAGCTGGTGCTCACCTATGATACAGTGTAAAGTAAAATTAATTTGTTGCAAAAATATTTCTTTGATATTTGAACAAGTTATGATAGTTATTCATTAGTAAACATATTTCTGAGATAGAATCACATTTACATACACATTTCTTTGGCATTTAATTAACTTGTATCAATTAATAGTTTAAATCTGCACATCTTAGATAGATGCTATGCTGTTGTTGTTGTTTTTTTTCACACAAAAGATTTTTATCCAAAAATTAATTTTTATGAATTTCACTTACTTAAAACATGTGGCACTGCCAAAAGTTCATTTAATGTAAATTTAATTAAAAACAACATAAGGAAGAAAATATTGCAAAAGAAGTATGATAAGAAGGCGATGAAAACTAAAGAACAAGACATTCTAGATAAGTTATACTATATTGCAGCATTTCATTACTTGTAATTATTTTACACCTTGCTGATTAAAATGTACAGTATGCAAGAGTAAACTTAGCCAAACGTTTTGGACAAATAACTTTTTTTTGTTATAAAATATAGAAAGGATATTTTTAAAACAATGCTGTTCATTAAAGAATCACAGATCTAGATGTAAGGATGAATATCTGAATGGTAAAATTTAAACAACTCTTGCAATACTCATAGAAAGAAATAAAATAGAAAGATAAATTATGTCAAAAACTGTTTAAAATTTAAAGAAAAACAAAATTTCAGACAACATAGATAAAATATAGCACTTAGAAGCTGGCATTATTTCATGTTCAAAAAACCCATCTGTACAAACAATCTAGAGATTTTGTTTATTTACATTCAGTGTAGAAAAACATCTTTAAGGTAATACTATCATATTATATCTTCTATTGATATACATTGTAAACATAATTAACAACAACCAGTGTGAAACTTGGTTTATTAATTAGTAATATTAAAACTGTATTAATCTTTACACAGAATTATGCAACATACACACACACAGACACTTCATAACACAAGAAAAATATATTAAATATTCGTGTTTATGTAGTAATAAATGTACAAATTCCGTCTTTTGTTTTATTGGGTCTCATTTTAAGATGCACCAAAATTGTAAAAGTCAAAGGGAACCTTTCCAGCTTTACTGGTAGAGGAAGACCTTGGGTGACCCTCTGTGGATTATTTTAGGCAGCTGGACCCCAAGTAGAACCAAGGACCTTCAATTATAAATCAAGATAAATAGCTTCTTAATGTAACAAAACGATCCCTGGCCAGATTTAAACCTACAGCAAAGAGGGACAACTGATTTACAGTCAGTGATCTTACCCACTCGGTCACTGAGACCCAAAATCAGGATATAAATGAGAGATAATTTACTCAATTCACCTCGATGTTAAGTTGGTATCTACATTAAACAAAAATAAGTTGGTATCTACTTTAAACAAAAATAAAGAACATATTTGCCAGACATGTAAGGATTTCACATTTGTTATGATTGCAATATTTCCTGCCTTTCTTAAAGCTCTGCATTAAATATACATGTATAACGTCGTTAAAGCTGTTAAGTATGTGATCAAGTTCAATACATGTGCTCATACTTTTCTTCTTATCTCAATTCCATAAACGTGTTTTAATACATATATATGTGCTCCATTTGCCCTGAGATAATACAGAGATCTAATTCAGCTCTCTCATTTAGTTTGTATTTGAATATTAGGCTAATCTTTCTGACAAAGTTATGTGTTTAGAGACTGTATGTGAAAATTATGTCTAGATGTTATTATCCAATTGTTATGTCTGTACACTGTATTAGTAAATTATGTCTTATTACAAACTTAATAAAGAAAAGCAAAAATTCAGCAAACTTTGAAACTGGGGACCCTTCACTGGCAAAATTTACAGACAAAAAGTTGCATCAACTAAGAATACATACCACCAGAGCATGCCTCGATAATTTATATATTTACAACATCTTCATGAGTACTTTGATTTCATCATTGTCATTATAAAACCCTTTATAATAACTAGAATACGGACAAATACTGTTTAACAAAAGTGGTTTGTCTATGACATAAAAATGAAGATGACAAATACTGCTGTGTTACTATGACAACTATAATACACTATCAAGCAGTGATATGAAGTATCTAAACTACCTTCTTTGTATCATATTTCTTTAAAACAAGTTCAAATCTAAAACAGTGGGTTTTTTTAACATTTGTTCAAAATAACAGATTTTTTAAAAAAATCTTTCAGTGCCCTCTATTGTGTACTTTTTGCCCTCCCTTGTGTACTATTATAAATGATCAAATATGATAAAAATCACGTTCAATGATTTCTTTTTGCATAAGGTCACATCTTTGCTAATTATCTGTACTTTATTGAAAAAAGTTTTCTTCAGTAAATCATGAAAAGTTCAGACTACGTGACTTGACAAATCAATTCACCTTCACGCATTTTTGAAGAGCATAAGTAAAACCTATATATATTAAATTGGAAACTGTTATTATTATATTATAATGTATCAATAAATACAGGAGTTATTAAGTACAGGTTTTCATTTATTATAGGTACTTTGGGTTCCATTGTAATACTATAATAAACTGTCTTATAATTTTTATATCGTTTCATCAGTGATGTGCTGTATGACGAAAAAATTCAAACCATAGGGCTTACACAACTACATATTTATAATGGAATAATCTTGTCTAAATTTGGAACAGTCCATTACCAGTTTAAAGGATTTCAGTAAAAATATATTACTAAAATTTAGCAGACGACAGTATATATTCTAACCAGACTGCACAAATTTACGAGCTGACCTAGATCTATTCTGGTAGCATAGCCAGGTCCTTTATTCAACAAATTAAAAATCCTAATATATCTTATTTTATACAAATTATTTAAAGCCTATGTTTTAAGTTTCAACACACAATGTATAAAGCTTATCAAGATGAATAGTGACATATATTTCACTCATATCAGACATTCAAATGGTTGATAGTTTCTAGTATGTTCATAATTTCTAGTATGAAAACCTTATCCAGCTGAATTTGCTAAATGGACTTGTCCACATTCATTTATAGAAATATTCATTACTAACATTGTCCGAATCGAAATCGTAAGTTAAACCTTGTCAGCGAACAGTATATATATGTTAGGCCTGGTGGGACTGCATGGATGTGCGAGCTGGCCTGATGCTTTACCTGTAGCAAAGTGGCTTACCTTTTCCAGCAGTCTTTGGGTTTAAGCACAAGTACGTGGTTACAGGTTTAACAGTTTATAACTTATATTACCATATTAGGGGGTACAGTTTTCATACTCTTTGAATTACTTGAAAAACATACATCAGTTTTGTCACGTATTTCTGTCCTCTAAACAAAACAACGGAATGTGTTTGACCTATGTTACATTCAACTCTGAGGTCAAAAGTCCTAAAACAAAGTTTTGATATTCCTTTACTGAAAAGTTAATAATCATGTGTAAAAAGTGCTAATAAAAAATCAACAGTTATTCTTTATTCCATCAAATCATAATAAATCACCTGTTTGTATTGGTACGAACCATGTACAAATTAAAATATTGAATTTAAATGCATATAAAAACATTTTGTTCTTTATTTAAACCTTTAAATATCACACAGTCATGAGTAAATATGAAATTTCTCTATGTACCTATATATTATATATACATACATACACAAATGTACTGTTTCTTCAACTTTTTTTGCATATAACTCATAACATAACAATGTAGCAGTGCGAAAATCAAAACACGTTGAAACAAAGATGAAAACCTCAATCATTAGCACAAGTGTGATTTTCTAGTGAATATAAAGCATGATTTAATTATATAATATTTACAAATATTTTAAAATTCCCTACTAGCACTCTGGTTTTTTCCATAGATTTCTACCCTCCACAGTAACAACAAAAGTTAAATTAGTAGAAAACAGCACTATTCTATTGTCTTTTGTGTCTATGGTTTGTGTTATAATTCATTAAATGTCACTAGATTGCATCATGTTCATTTTTTCTTTGGTCCAACACCATCAGAGTCGTCATAGTTCAGCGGGCTCTCATGTGGGGCTGGAAGCTTGAATTCTGACGGGTCGGTGCCCCAGATGTCACGTGCATATTCGGCTATTGTCCTGTCACTCGAAAACTTGCCAGATGAAGCAATATTGTGAAGACACATCTTTGACCATAGCAAAGGATCCTGTAAAATAATGATATAATATTTAACTGTTTAATGAATAGATAATGTCATATTTTACTTTTTAATGAATAGATAATGCAATCTGTAACTGTTAAATGAATAGATAATGTCATTCTTTAACTGTTAAATGAATAGATAATGTCATTCTTAACTGTTAAATGAATAGATAATGCCATCTTTAACTGTTAAATGAACAGATAATGCCAACTTTAACTGTTAAATGAATTGATTGTACCATCTTTAACTGTTAAATGAACAGATAATGCCATCTATAACTGTTAAATGAATCGATAATGCCATCTTTAACTGTTAAATGAACAGATAATGCCATCTTTAACTGTTAAATGAACAGATAATGCCATCTTTAACTGTTAAATAAACAGATAATGCCATCTTTAACTGTTAAATGAATTGATTATGCCATCTTTAACTGTTAAATGAACAGATAATGCCATCTTTAACTGTTAAATGAACAGATAATGCCAACTTTAACTGTTAAATGAATTGATTGTACCATCTTTAACTGTTAAATGAACAGATAATGCCATCTATAACTGTTAAATGAATCGATAATGCCATCTTTAACTGTTAAATGAACAGATAATGCCATCTTTAACTGTTAAATGAACAGATAATGCCATCTTTAACTGTTAAATGAACAGATAATGCCATCTTTAACTGTTAAATGAACAGATAATGCCATCTTTAACTGTTAAATGAATTGATTATGCCATCTTTAACTGTAAAATGAACAGATAATGCCATCTTTAACTGTTAAATGAATGGATTATGCCATCTTTAACTGTTAAATGAACAGATAATGCCATCTTTAACTGTTAAATGAATTGATTATGCCATTTGTAAATGATAAATGAATAGATAATGCCATTAACTTTTTTTAACTGTAAAATGGATACCGGTGCATTTTTAGTGTAAGAAATAATGATAATGTCTTATTTCAAAGTAAAAAATGATAAGATAGTTCCATATAAAATGATATGATAATGACTTTTTTCAGTGTTTAAAGATTAGCTTTAAATATATTTTTCTTAAAACAGTGCAAAACTAGTTATGTGACCAAAGAACACATAACTCCAACTGTCACAAATGTATATTTCATAAATGTCCATTTTTATATTAAAAATATTATGTACTCATATATGATAGTGGTATTTTTATGAAGTTTAACTTTCGCTTATTCCTTCTCAAGTTATTCACCTATTGTGGATATTACAGTGTTACTATGACATTGACCTTTAACATAATGACAATTTTGCACGTCTCAAAATTTTTATCTGATGACAATTTTGCACAGTGTCACTGTGACCCAATTACTTTAAAATCAATAGAGGTATTCTTTGTTATGTCCTAACTAAGTTCTATAAAACTTAGCTTATTTCTTTTAAAGATATTGATCACACAGTGTTGTGACCTTGACCTTATCATGGTTCATCAACAGTAACAGGCAATTACAGGTATTTGGCAATGTCCCTACCAAGTTATATTAACCTTGATTTATTCCTTCTAAAGTTATTGATCAAACAATGAAAACAGGTCATTTAGAAATTAGAACAGATCCCCACCCCTCATCACAATACCATTGCCACTTTTTAATGGGTGCATAAGAATAAAAATGTTATTATCTCAGAAGTTTAAAATCTATAATATTTTTCATAACAAGAAATGAGAGCACTTACCTTAAATACTTCACTGACACGGTCTTGACACTTAATATAAGCATCAAAATCAGCCAACAACATGAATCTGTAATAAACAATACAAATATCTTTCAAACTTCCTGCATAAAATGTCCATTTCAAATAATACTTTTTTTTAATGGTCAGTTACTAATACCTACCTTAACAAGATTTCTAACGATTTGTTATGTTACAAAACACCCTTTTTTAATATCTTTCATAAAAAATATGTTGTTATTATATCTTTAACAAGATCAATTATGTTGTAATCATTATTAAGCTTATGCCTTATACAAGAAATGAAATTAAGATGTTAAACATGTTGTTATATCACTTGTTGTTTTCAGTCAACCTGTCATGTTGTCATGACAACTTTCTATCATTATGGTGCTGATAAGACACGGTAATCTTCTTTCTATTATTTCATGAATGAGATGGACAGTTTCTACAGATAACTATTTATCTTAAGCTAACTAAATTGATGATGTCATGTCAAAGAATATTTTCCCCCTGAGTTTAGCTACAGCTATAACATGACTTTAGTCATACTCTATTTTTGGCCACTTTCCAGCTTTACCGGTGGAGGATGACCTCTGGTGCCCTACTGTGCATTATTTCAGTCTTGAACGGGTACCTGTGTAGAACCACATACATTCTTAAGCAAGCTGTATAGCTTCCTCACACTCTCTGGCAGGATTTGAACCCACAGCAGTGAGGGTCAAGTGGTTCAGTTAAATGAGTTAATAATTACCTGTCAGTATAAACTAAAGAGTTGTAGATATCTCTAAACATGCCAGGATCTTCTGGGTTGAAGTAACCACTGTTGATTTGATCTAACACACTTCTAACCTCAGCATTCCTCTCATAATAATCATGGGCATTGTATCTGAAACACAAGTGTCATATTGTCAGTATTATGATATGTCAGGAAAATTCTCGGAAAAAATTGCATACTATTTAAAACAAAAATATTAACAAAGTTCACATAGTTTCATCATATAATTAAATTTCAACAATTCTTTATTCATAAAAGAATAGAGTTAGTTAGATTTAGAGTTGTTACCAAGTGGAAAAATTCTCCTTTTTTTAGAATATAAATCTCTATCATTTAACATACTTTTATGATAACATTCTCATATTAAACATTCATTTTTTTACTGAGTATAACTTATCTTTCTAACCTTTGTTTAATGCAAGCTTGTTTATACAACCAGACAACATTGACTATCTCTTTACCTATCTTATTGTATTATATAATGTACATACCCCTTCTTTTTGAGGGCCTCTACTTCCTCTACAGTCATACCAAAGATGAAGATATTCTCGTCTCCCATCTCTTCCCTCATCTCAACATTGGCACCATCCAGTGTACCTATTGTCAGGGCTCCATTCAACTGAAACTTCATGTTTCCAGTACCTGATGCCTACATAGAAATTTAAGAATTTTTTTATGTCAAGTGTTCTTTGATTGGTAAAAATAAGAGATGTCACTTTTTACCACTTTTCTTGGTTTGTAAGCGAACAGCATGGATCCTGATCAGACTGCGCTGGTCTGGATCCATGCTGGTCGCAAACCCATTATGTTGGTTTTGTCGTGACGCGGCTCATATTTTATAACTTGTACACAATTCACCTACCCTTAAAAATCCAAATTGAAACTACACTAAAATTATCACAAGATCCACTTAATACAAAACATTTTATATAACATAAAACATGTATCAGAACTGCTATTCAAACTAGGGAAAGATATTACTGTGCAAGTATGCATGCAAATTACAAAACAAATTTTGCACAACAAAGCCCTTCCTTCTAGTTACAGAGAACATACCTCAGTTCCAGCTGTTGAAATTTGTTCACTGAGATCTGCTGCCGGCATAATCTTTTCTGCTAGAGAGACACGATAATTCTCCAAGTAAACGACCTTCAACTTGTCCCCAACTATGGGGTCATTGTTGACCACATTGCCTACAGTGTTGATCAACTTGATGATCAGTTTGGCCATGTGATAACCTGGGGCAGCCTGTTTGAATAAATAACAAGAAAAGCATTGAGGGCGTCCAAGCAAGAAATGCAGCAGGTGAAGATGAACTAGTAGACATATGATGACAAGATATTCTTATAATCTTTTCAATGGTAGGGCTACCAGAATTGTATATCACTTCTGAATGAACGGACGAAAGACATTGTTCATTATGAACTTTGATTGGCATGCTAGAGATTAGAATATTACTTGTTATTTCTTTATGATCGTGATTATTAATAGCAACGGATATACATGTATATAATCATTTATAATCCATATGTGTAACGCATGATCAACACCACAGTTGTGTAAATGTCCCTTATTATGTTATCGCTATTAGCGAAGAACCCCTTTTAAGGTATCTGTTCACACTTAGTAAAAATATGACACTGGTTATATTACCATGTTGATCATATTGAGCATAATTGTTTATATTATACAATAATTGTCATATCTATTAAAATTTACAGATTTTATTAATATTGTTTTCTTTTCTTTTTTGTGTTTCATGTGCTATTTTAATACTGAGATTTTACGTTTACTACTCTAGTCTTTTTTTTATTAAAATTGTAAAATAAATTTTAAGAATTCAATTGTTATATTGACCGACGATTATAAGTCAAAACTTAACTGGAAAAAGTCAGTAAATTATGGTTAATTAATCTTTCAATATACAATATTGTTTATTCTTAAACCATGTACATATACATTTGTATTTTTCTTTATCATTTTTTAAGTTATCAATCAATTGAATAATTCATAAAATCTAATTTGTAACTTTGAATAATTCCTCGGCATCTTTACTAAACACGAATAACAAATTAAATAAAATGTTTCAAAGTTGATAGTGTCATATTAATACCATAAAAATGTACCTTTTTTCTCAATTATTGTACATATTTATTGTTTTTATCTCATATAGATAAAATGAAACATGCTATTGTTTTTGGGTTTTTTTCGAATTGTATGTTTATGTATAATAATAATCAATAAATTTGAGAGTTGATCTGTGTTTATTAATTATTGTAACCAAACTAAGTGACAAACATTCATTTTGGAAAAAAAGCTTATTTATCTGTAAAATATTTGTTCTGTTCTGTAACGATATCAAACATCTACTCCAAAACCGGGAGAGACCGGACAATAAACGTGTGATACTATTCGCCGGTCACTAGTAAATCCCGGTCAAAATAGACCGGGAGAGACCGGGAATTACCGATAGGAGTACATCCCTCTATAAATAGATTTTTGGAATGTTTAGGTCATCAACTCATCATTCTATTTACAGCTTTCGGATACATGTACAACAATAACATACCATAATAACCCACTGAGTACTACAAAATGATAAATAAAAAAAACCCGAAGACGGAATTTGAAAATGTTTGCATTGCGAAATTCTCCAGTTCGCTATTCATTGTACATATCGCGACATTTCTTTTTTAATTAATAATCAAGCACCTCATACCGATCGGAATGATCGGCTTTTATTATGGCCGACTTAAAGGCTCGAGAAGTTGCTGTCGTCCTTTCACAAAATCTGATTTCATTCCATAAGGGGCGCCACGCTTCGGCGCGGACGCCAATTATACTATTAGTTTTAGAGATGGCCCTATATAAATGGTACGTTTGCATATATAATGGTAGCCATGAAGCATAGGTTTTATTGCAAACAACATGCAGTCATAAAACCTGTCAAAAATCTTTATAATTAATATATAATACCACAAACTTGCTTTATTTGTGAAAAAAATAAATTACTTCATTAATTAACAACAGCTGTGTATATATTTTATATAAAAATTATGTTTGAACATATGAAAACTTTCAAAAGCGATGTTACAAACATGTAGCATTATAGTTTGTTGCATGATACTATATAGAAGCATGCAATAATTCTGCAGGCCACAGAAATATAATTTTGTATTTATAATTATAAATCTTTTAAAGTTTTCAAATAGCTGATCAAGACATTTTTTAGTTTTCTCTTTGTTTTGAGCTTCAGGCTTCTTCTAAGCTGATGGTTCTTAAGCTGGCTTAATAAGTACCAAAAGTGCCTGACCAAACATTTGCCATCTGATATATGACTTAACATGTTACAACCATTCAAACAAACTTCTTCTGCATGTATGTATAGTCTATATTAATTTAACTGAGGGTCCATCTGTTTATCAATTTAGGCACAAAATGGAGCTTTTGCTGTCAAATATGTACTCCAACTTAGTCATGCCCTTAAAGGATCAATTTTGAAGCACAAAGTGGTGATAATTTACCCTTAGGCAATTTTTACAAAGTATATGTCAAAGAAATGAATTTGAGCCAATAGAAGGTTAATGAGCACCTAAATGTACAGTAACCCTGAGACAATATCACAATTCAATATCATCAAGTCTTAAAGCTAAATTTAAACCAATAAGCTCATTGCTAACAATTCTTCAAATTTTATCCTCTCCACCAATCAGAACCGTCCATTCTTTAACATGCTTAATTTCAACTGCTTTACTATTAGTTTGAAATAACATACCTTTCCACCGATCATGACAGTTCTTGGTGTGACAGGTTTGTTTGGCTCTCTCTTGATTCTGTTGTATAGGGTAATGATGTGAAGACAGTTCAACAGCTGTCTCTTGTACTCGTGGATTCTCTTTACTTGGATATCAAACATGGAGGACGGGTTCACTTCAATATTGAATTCCTGTTTAATGTACTCTGCCAGCTTCATTTTGTTCTCCTGCAAAGAATAAGTTTCTAATTTCATTAGTAGTGTTTCAAATATAAACTGATTAAATTGTTGCGGAAAGATTTAATTTATATATACTGAAAGAACGTTATTACACAATCAAACTAAATACATAAACTGTAAAAATGTTTGGCTCTATACCTGTTTGACTTTGATGAGGGCTCTCAGGAAGTTTTCGTTGCTGTCAAACTGTTTCAACTCTTTTAATTGGTAAAGATCTGTCACCCATGTCTCTCCAATTTTCTAAAAATAGAATAAATACATGTACATGTATATAAATGAAAGATATTCTTTTAAAATATCATATCATCAAAATAGATACAGCAATTATGATAAATATACAAAATATTTTCATTATTCTAACAAGCCCACATTATTTCCCTATAATATATAAAGTGCAGTCAAGCACATTATTAATACATGATAAATTAATGCACAGCTTAAACAAGACGTGTCTGTAGAAAGTGTGCTCCACTTCTCTCATTGCTGGATAGTAGAAACAAACACAATTATTCACTCAGGCTTAACAACCTTCATGATTATATTCCTACACATTTAAACTCAATTCATGCATTATTTTGCATGAATACTCTCAAAAATGATACCTTTTTCCAAAATCAATAATGAAGTAACAGAAAAACATAATAATACATACAAACACCTTAAAACAGAATTACATTTACAAGATGACATTTTTTCAATAAACTTTTTAATCGATGAATAATAACATCAAATTTTATCATTTTTTTCTCAAAGCCTTTTTATGAAATATATAAACCAGTATCTACACCAATTGTTAACTACAGCAACCAACACTGTTTTTATATTGCAGATTCTACTTATCTTCAAACCCAACTTGGACAGCTTTCCACCCTGATTTCAAACTTTACATTTTCGCATATAGAATGAGTCATACCTCAGCAATGACATCAGATAGACCAGGGTTACAGAGCAGGAGCCAACGTCTTGGTGTGATACCATTAGTCTTGTTCTGGAAACGTTCTGGGTACATCTCATAAAAGTCGTGGAATCTGTTGTAAAATACTATATTGCATTAAAATTATGTAACAAAATATAACAAGAGCTATCCTTATCACAGCATGCTAGAGTATTATAAGTTCTTGCCTGGAAGTGAGGATGATGGTCACTAACAAGTATGCAACGTTTCAAAGCAATACCTGAAAGGGTATAGGAAATAGGGTGGCACAAAAAAATTTAACGGAACTTCCAAGTTGAAAAGGGGCATAATTTTCTTAAAATCTATAACAAGAGTTATGTCCTCTTGCCTGGAAGCCGGGACGATAGTGTCTAACAAGTACACAAAGTTTCAAAGCAATACCTGAAAAGGTATAGGAAATAGGTGGGTTGGTATGAAATACTTAACCAAAAGTATGACACAGATACCGATACCATGGTGAGTAGGCAGCTCTCTCTATTATATAAATATAAGTATAGTTCACTCAATGTTAGTAAATTAAGCATTTCAGACAAGGATTGTATTAAGCAAATGACATCTGCAGCATAGTGTGATTTGACAGACAACTGATGCCATGTCACTACTATTTCTACTTTCATTTTGAATGCATGTAGAAAACAAACAAACATGGGCACATGCCTGAATCAGTTTAAACAGTTTTTGATATATACTTATGTTTATCATTGACTGAGCATCCATAAAGTAAATGAGAGTCGCAGGTTAACACACAACTAAGAATGTTCGAAACTGCGAACCACATTCCACACCTTTAATGGTGCTATTATGTGAATGGGCATTATTTTTATTTCTCGGGGATGTGTGTGTTGGGATTTAATTTTGTGGTTGACCTGATCCACAAAATCCACAAAAATTAATCCCCAACATATAAAAATTTTGGTCATGTCTCAGCATTTGGTCCAACTAACAAATGTTCCTGGATAACTAACCACTACTAGCAATAACGATTTTCCCGCAACTGACAGACTATTAATGTCACATATTTCTGAATCAGTTTTGCGAGACAAATGACCATGAGTATTAAAATAGTAAGCTACATGTGCTTGTACATACATGTATATTGACTTCAAACATATACTTGCTTAAGTGCTTCTTCTTGATATATAGGGTCTGCAGACATGCAGCTCAATTTCAATGCAAGAAAGATAAAAGTAAGTTATTATTTACGTGTCTCTCTTGATAATCTCTGAGTGGATGGCAGCCACACCATTGATAGCATGAGCTCCTATAATAGCTAGATGTGCCATGTTGATTTTCTTCTCATCATAATCTTCTACAATTGACATCCTTCTTAATCTGTCAGCATCTCCTGGGAATTTCTTCTTCACTTGCTACATCATTTAAAAATCAAACAAACTTCTCAGAAATTATTCTTAAATCACATTAAGAACCTTTCACAAATACATTTTCAGAAAATAATGTTATATTATAAGGCATACTTTAAGTTAAATATTTCAAACAAACATGTGTAAGGTATCTTACATGTTTAATATTTTCATTCTTATTTGAGTCATTTGTTATTTTACGTCAATTCTACCTGAAGAAAGAAAGGTATAGGAAAACCGTTTTTTTTTAATTGAACTATATTATTATTATACATGTATAATATTTTCATAGAAACTTTTTGGGCCAGTTATATTCAGTTATTGTTTGAACACAATTATGTAAAAACTGAGACTAATCACTATATTGATATATTCTCAAAATTTGTCTTGGTTTGACCTTTTGCACAGGAAAAAAAACATTGTTCTTAAGATTTGAGGAAATTAAATAGAATACAACATACTGCAAAATCATTATTATTCTTGGGGCATTAATTTTGGTGGTTTTCATGGATAGGTCAATCCACGAATTTAAGACCCGACACATATTTCATTTCCTCTGCTGTAAGATAATTTTGCATCAAATTATTTACTTTGTACTTTTTGGAAAAATAGACAGTCAATAATTTAAGAACCCACTAAGATGTTCTTTGTGACAAAACCATGAAATTTCATGTCCATGAAATTAAGTGAATTCACAATAGTTATAAACTGTACTGATCCAGCAGGTTTATTAATCTATATAGAATTATATAGAGACTAAGACAGATTTAACTTACCTCAAGGAAGAGATGGTTAATGTAGTACATGAAGCTGAGACAGATTTAACTTACCTCAAGGAAGAGATGGTTAATGTAGTACATGAAGCTGAGACAGATTTAACTTACCTCAAGGAAGAGATGGTTAATGTAGTACATGAAGCTGAGACAGATTTAACTTACCTCAAGGAAGAGATGGTTAATGTAGTACATGATCTCAAGGTGTCTAGGCAGGAGTCTTTCTAGCAGGGAAACTGGCCACCTCTCCAGAGCCTCTGGCAGAACAGTGTGGTTGGTGTAGGCGCAAGTCTTTACTGTCACCTCCCAGGCTTTCTCCCAGGACAAGCCTTCCAGATCCACGAAAATGCGCATCAGCTCTGGGATTGCCATGGCAGGATGGGTGTCATTCAATTGAATAGCTACCTGAAATTATGATAAAACTTTAGTTCATGTCATGAACCAACAGCCTCAAACATCACAAAATATTTAGAACTTGCTGAACAATATGATTGAAACATTTAAAACAATACAAAACTCTTATATTATGATTCAATTAAATAACAAATGAAAGGACTGATATCTGAAACCCAAAGCCTGAAAATATTTCTGTTTAAAAAACAAAACAAATCATTGGTAAAATTATAAGCTTTCATAAAATTATATAAATGCCAGGTCTTATGTTTAAAGAAAACTAAATAACTATAACCAGGACAAAATATAAGAATCATAAGTGTTTCGCAATTTACATTTCAAATTTGTTACATACTTTCTCTGGGAATGCATCAAACGATGTCCTGACTGGGTCTCTGCTACCGAATCTAGAAGATTTAAACCTTCGTATAATGTCCTGAAGGGTGGCAGCTACCAGGAAGTATTCCTGTTTCAATCTCAACTCTTTACCTTCGAAGAACTGAAGAACAAATAGAAACAGATGGTAATTATAATGTATTCTAACCAGGGAAAAAAATGAAAGAATTTCATGAAAGACAAATCAGAGATAAAAGACCTGAAATAATATAAGCCCAAAAAAAGACACCTGAAATAATGTAAGGGTAAAAGACCTAAAACGATGTAAGGACAGATGGCACCTGAAATAATGTTAGGAAAAAGACCTGAAAAACAAGAGGATAACAATAACTTTTAGCAAGTATGTGCACATGTACAACTCAAAATACATGTGTTATAGAAATAGTCCAAGGGAAGCAACTCTTGTGCCACTGATATTTGATTCTATTACAATATTAATAATGTTTTACATTTCATATTACATAAAAATATGTTAGAATTTGAATAAGGACCTTTTAATTGATACCTAAAAAATATCTTTAATATTAAAAAAAGAACTACTTTTTACTGCACATCTTTTTTAGTTTTCTTTTACTGCACATTTTTTTTTAGTTTTCAAAAAAGAAATGGAGTTTAAGATTTCACAACTTTCAATAAAATCCTTTTTTATTATTCAAATCATTTTGTAATATAAAAATACCTTAGTATAAACTTAAACCTCATTTTATTACTTTTCACTTCTTCTATTTATTAATAATTTTAACATCAAAGTACTTGTAAAGAAGTTTTTCTGAAATCTCGCATAAATTTATGTAAATCAATTTTTGGTTGTGACGTAAATTTCCTTATGTTATTGATAAAAATTACTGTGCTTATTTTAACTCAGACTGAATTCACTCAACTTTGCTATAATCAAGAGGAGTTTTACATAATATCTTTTTTAAAATCCATTCATTTTCACAATGATGAATAAGATGCATGAAATGCTTATTTTTTTTATAAAGTAAAAGAGTTACAGTAAGGTGTATTATGTAACCTAAAATAGAACAGTGATATTGTGGTTGATGTATTAATTACATGAACTTGGTCTTGTGCCTTGTTCACACCACATAACATTAAAATTTAGGTACAGTGCACATAACCATGTGTAAATAGCTTTTAATCTTTGGTAAAGTACATATCACTATGTATTTCAACGTAAAATTTTATGTGTAGTTTAACATTTCTACATAAACCTTAAAATTTTGGTAAAGGTAGTGTGCAAATCTCTGGTGTATTTCAACATCAGAATTAAGTACAGCAATCATGTCTTCATAGAACTAACCTTATATTTTTGGTATGTATGCTCAAAAATATTTAAGAATATGTCAAGAACACAAGCAAGAACAAGTTATATCATTATCAAGGTTAATTTCAGAGTAGAATCAAGTTTTACTTACATTATCATTAGGGTATAGTACACGGGAGATATTCTCTGCCAGATTTCTATCACATACAGCGTTAATGTACTCTCCATCATTGACTGAAATGAAACAAAATAAAACAGTGAATAATACAAATTTACTTACAATAAGATTTAAGTAAGAAATTTCCAGAATCTAAGGTTTAGGTAAGAAACTTTCAGAATCTAAAGTTTAAGTAGGAAACTTCCAGAACCTAAGGTTTAAGAAAGGAACTTACAGAATCGAAGGTTTAAGTAAGAAATATACAGAATCTAAGGTTTAAGTTAGAAACTTACAGAATCTCAAGTTTCAGTAATTAGGCAAGGTTTAAAGGGAGTCAAATGGCAAAATTTTCATTTCTTAGTTTTTGAATTTTTTATTCATTATTCTGTAAATGTCCTCAAAATGAATATACTAGGCAGTCACAGGAAAGGCTCTTTTCTCATTATAAAGTACTAAATGATGAATTTTCTAACCTTACCCACATGGGTCAGGTGTCACAATAGTTGTCACAGTGAACTTTGGAAACGTTAAAGAACATGTCAAATGAATGACTTAAACTTGTTTCAATCATACAATATCCACAGTATCTGTTATTGTAACTTTCAGGGTTTGTTCAAGTCACAAAACCTGTTTTAAAACTACTCGATGATTCTGTTAGCTTCTAAATTGTGTCAACATATATTAATATATTTACGCTTCAAACCCAAAATAAATAAAATTTAATACAGAAATTCATGCCTTTATTTTCTAGATTTTAGTTCATAAGATCATTTTTATCTTTTCGTCATTAATTTGCCTCAGTATCCCTTTAAGTAAGAAACTTGCAGAATCCAAGGTTTAAGTGAGCAAACTTACAGAATCCAAGGTTTAAGTTGGAAACTTTCAGAATCTAAAGTTTCAGTAATTAGGCAAGGTTTAAGTAATAAACTTACAGAATCTAAGGTTTAAGTGAGAAACTTACAGAATCTAAAGTTTCAGTAATTAGGCTAGGTTTAAGTAAGAAACTTACAGAATCTAAGGTTTAAGTGAGAAACTTACAGAATCTAAGGTTTAAGTAAGAAACTTACATAATTTAAGATTAAGTAAGAAACTTACAGAATCTAAGGTTTAAGTAAGAAATTTAAATAATCTAAAGTTTAAGAAACAAGCTTTCAGAATAAGGTTTAAGTAAGAAACTCACAGAATCTAAGGTTTACAGAATCTAAGGTTTTAGTAAGAAATGTACATCACCTAAAATTTAAGTAAGAAACTTACAGAATCTAAGGTTTCAGTAATGAACTTACAGAATCTAAGGTTTAAGTAAGAAACTTACAGAATCTAAGGTTTAAGTAAGAAACTTACAGAATCTAAGGTTTAAGTAAGAACTTACAGAATCTAAGGTTAAAGCTGTTTGGAGCCTTGGCTGACCATAGTCTCATGGTGTTCACAGTATTGTTACCATACCCTGGGATTGGGTTGTCATATGGCATAGCAAACACAACCTGAAATGTTTCACATACACCCATGTACTCAATTGTTCTGTTAGCAGAATCTATTATGTTATAGATAAGATAGAGAATCTGTTCTAGTCTCACTCATTTCATAATTTGTATTCTAAAAAGCTTATTATCCTATTGAAAGCAACTCCATTTTTATTATGTTGCAATATTTATTTTTCAATTTTTTTTCACCAATATCTCATCTTTAGACAGGAAAACCCCTTATGCAGAAACAGATACCAGTATTGACCTACAGAACAATCAGCTGGATAATTAAAACCGGAAAGATTTCATGAAATAAACCAACACAAAATATATACTGTAAATAAAATAATATTACATGAACAAACTTCCATTGACTTATACTCTGTAGACTATTTTATGCAAACATAAAGTATCTATTTATTTTACCTGTGTGTCCACCCATTTCTTCTTGCCGTCCTTCTCTTCAACTCTACCAAAGAAGTTGACAGGCAGCACATACTCTGGCCTTGCCTTCTCCCATGGATTACCATATCTCAACCACTCATCAGGCTCCTCTACCTACATGTACAATAGATATTCTTATATAGGTGTAGATATAAATCTCACTAATTATTTGTAATTTAGGTCTTTTCTGGCTTGTCAATTGGCATTAGCACAAACATTTAAGTTTGTGTAAGTACTTATAGATCACAAAAGAGAAGTACCAAAATAAAAATCTTACAACTTTTTTCCTTTTTTTCTGTCCCAGTAAACAATTATTTAACTGGGAAAAAGGTCATTCTATTCCCTTTTTTTACCAATTTGTAAACACTGCAATGATATTTTGCCGAAATATGCATAATGCTACTGCAGAAAACTTTTTTTTAATGTTACAAAATACGTGTATGGCAAACAGATTATCAAGTACCTTTAAGTTTAAATTTCAAGATTTCAAAATTGACATAGGGCAATATAGTTTAACACTTTGGATGCCAAAATTTTTAACAATTTCTTTAATTCTAACACCCACTGAGTCTGCTGGTTTTGTCATTATTACAGGTAACTAGTTGAAACAATGCATGGATTTAATGTTATATACATCTCTTAATATCCCTTCCATCAACTCACATTATTTATCAATTTACAATCAGAATATATCAGTGATGCTTTTAAGCAATTTTCCAGATTTCTGCTATAACATATCATTAAAACCATTAGTATAAAATTCTGAGATAAAATTGTACCATTCTGAAAAATATCAATAACCTGATATACAAATGTACATGCATTAGCAAAGAGTGGTGTGAACAAATGTACAAATGTACTTTTTTATCTCTCATATAAGATCACAAAGTCAATGCTGACAAGAGAAACATGTTAAAAGGTTTCATTAAACTTCAGTGTCTATTCTAGGATTAGAAATATATAGGTGATTTATTTCCAAATCATTCCTAAAAGAGAGAGAGTTTTCTATCTAGAGTGAGTGGCAGGGACTACTTTACTTCTCACCAAGTTAACAAAAATGTACGGTCTGCAGAAATTATAGTAATGAATGAAAATTAAATGTTTTTTAAATTATTTTTTTCTTTTGCTGAATTTCAGAATTCAAAGATTATTTCCCCAATTACATTTGTTTGATATAATAAAACCCGATGTGAACACAAAATTTAATGGCTTATTCAATGCATCAACATAAGGGAGTTGTTGGCATAAATGTCATATATATTTTTTCATTTCTTTTCTTTGGTTGTTACACATTTTGTATGATTTTTAGAAAGAAGATTAAAATCCGTACAGGGTATTTTTCAAAACACATTACAATGTATACTCAAACTTTTCAAAGTTCCTGCAATAAAATACATGTAATTACCTGCCAACCGTTCTCAATCCTCTGAGCAAAGATACCATAATCATATCTGATACCATAACCATAGGCAGCTAAACCAAGGGTTGCCATGGAGTCAAGAAAACAAGCAGCCAGACGACCCAGACCTCCATTTCCTAGACCAGCATCCTCTTCTATTTCCTCCAACTCCTCAATGTCAAGGCCAAGCTTGAAAAAAATAAAATATTTTAACTTCAGAATTCATAATATGCAAAAAAACATTATGATTTACAAGATTTACTTTTTCAGCTAAATTACTACAATGCCATACCATTTTGTTAAGAAGTACATTGTGAGGAATATTTTATATAACAAATGTTTTCAGGAACATTTATACATAAAACTGGCTTTAATACTTTCAAATACAGTAATTCTAAGTACAGAAATTTAAGTTATAACTTCCGTATCAAGCCCCTTTTTAACCCTGAAGATGTTTAATTTTCTTTAACTGACATGTCCAGCTTTCTTTTTTGGAACTGTTCATTTTTCAATTTTGGGAATATCTAGATGAAATTAGCCTACAGTTTAGAGCTTGGCCACACTGCACACATGTGCAAGCATAATGTATAATTGTCCTGGCTCTATACTGGTGACAAAGGCTAATCACTTTCAATTCAAGATGGTATATATAAGAGTAGACCAAAAATTATAACCATAAAATAGTTTGCAAATTATTATTTTCAATTCAAGTCAAGCTTTTCTGATATAGTATGACCTTTTTGAAATAAACAGATTGATAATATAACCATATAAAGCTCTGTTGGGAGAAACACATTTATTTTACTGCGACTTCATTTTGTCTACAAGGAAAAATCAATCTGAGACACTCAAGGGAATAACCCTGTCTAACTTTATAATGAGAAGGTGAGATTTAATGTGTCATACAATAACCTACTTATTTCAGTTTGTAACTGATAACTATAAACTATTTGTAAGTATAACATATATCGGTATGATAAAGTAATGACAAACTCACCTGGTACATGGCCTCGTCACAGGAGCTCTGGATTCCAAGGTTGACCATGGTGTTGGACAAGGTGCGACCCATGTAAAACTCCAGGGAGAGGTAATACACTCTCTGAAATATAAATAAATGTCATATAGAACTCTTTCTGTTACTAGCAATAAATAAATAATTCCTTATATCATCATATCACTTAAAGCTTGCAACTTGGTAGGATTACACCTTTCATCTACGTGAACATGAACTAGAAAACCTTCTTGGCTTGTCATGGACCCAATTTAGACTCTTACTTATGACCTTAACTATAGCATTTCCATTACAAAATGACAGCATAGTGTTAGACATGGACACCTGCTTCTGCATATGTTTTGAGTGAATTTTCATTATTTACATTTAATTATCTAATTAGTCAAAAATATTGATTTCTTCTTCCTTTTTTTGTATTTTTAAACATGGACTTTAAAAGTTATCTATGGAACCCTCTTTTCTTCTGGGAATTCAAGAGACATAGAATTGCAGGAAAATCATACCATGTCACATAGCTGACAGTTACAACATTTCATACTCAAGACTAATTTCTATCATCAATAAACCTTGGAAGTTTTATGTTACATATAAAATTTAATTTCAACCCATTCATTCTTCAGTCTCCCAATATTAAATACAAATCTAAGGTTTCAACAAATAAAGCTAAAATTTTACAATTTATATTCAATGTTTTTTTAAGTTTTAAAGCCAATAACTTAAAGTCCAGTGATGTTATGTATAATCAATGTCATTTATAGTGTGTTATGTTTATTTTATTGTTTATTTTGTAAGGTAATAAGGCAATGTTCCAGTAGTTATGGACAAGACAGACATGGTTGCCCTCTTTTATATACTATTCACAAGTGGGCCACATGTACATTTCATTAAACAATACTATCATCATTGTACATTATAATGATGAACAGTCTTAAGATAGCTTTTAACATGGTATAAATTTACAACATGGATCAGGATGTGTATTTGCGCATTATTTAAACTGAGTACAGAACAAATACAGGATAAAGCCTTTAAAATTTTATAACAAATTTTATAACTTAGCTTATATTAAACAATGTTTTTTTTAATTTCAACTTTTCACTCATCAGATATAAAGAAAAGCTAGATCCAATTTAACTAAAGGTATATCTAGAACTTGTATCATAGTTTGGGGACCTTTCTGCTGAAAATGTGTCAGAGTTACATCATATACATGCACAGTACGTTAACTGGAGTGCAGTTACTAGTAAACTTCACTCCAGTCTCAGCATGCCCATTGATTGGCTCATTTATGCTGGGGTTTACCTATTGTGACGGCAGAGAAAGGGAAAACAATAGAAATAACACATTCAGATGTTCGTTCATTGGTTACTTTATTCTGGGGTTTCATATTGTGACAACAGAGAACATGTTTTTATGTTTGACTATGATACAAAAGAGAAAGAACATCAGAACACTCAGCAATCTGATTTATACTCGGGGGTGGGGGGGGGGCTACGTAGGGATTAAACGATGATCGAATAGAACCGATCGACGATGATCGATTACAAAGTTTAATAATCGATTATCGGTAATTTATTTCCTTGCTGTTGCTTAAGTGACTCACTGTATTATAACAATACTGTAAAATAAAGCCAGTTTTGGTTGAAACAATAATTTTCATTCAATTGAATATGAAAGCATACTGGTGACCCATGGAGTTAATAGTTGACAGTGAGGCATGCTAGTTTAAAGGTATACTTTGCTCAAAGATGACATTAGAAAATATTTAAAATTGCTACACAGTCTATTTGTAAATATAAAATAAACATGTTTTGACTTCACACAGAGAAGATATGTAATGTACAAAATTATTCTACACACTAAAGGTTGGTGCAATATCAATATATAGTGTCATTAAAAAAACCTGGCAGTTTTGTTAAGAAAGGACCAACTTTACTTGTTCCCATACAGTACATAGTTTATTCATTCCTTTTTTTGGAAGTGAGACATAATAATTTCATAGATTTTAATGAATTTATTTGACTAAAATACTTTACTCAAGGATGAGCATAGTATATCTTTAAACTAATTTATTTCAGTTGATAAAGTGGTTAAGTGGTGGTTACATGGAATTCTTATAAATATTAAAGCATGATATGTACGGTACATTGTTTGCTATTGTAAAATTAATGTTTCGATTATATAATCGATGATTGATCGAAAAGGGTTGTTCGATTATTTTCGATGATCGATTATGATTTTTGTCGGATTAAGAAACCCTAGGGCTACGCCTCCTACAAATCAGATAGCCTTGTGTTTCGATGCTCTTTCTATTACTAAATTTCTTCTCATGGTATCTTTAACTATCAATTAACCGGATTTGAATGATGGACCTGACCTGCTTAGATTGTTAGACCAGACCATTGTTTAATATGTAAAAAACTTTTAAATTCTAAAAGTTTTTTTTTTTGTCTCTAAATTGGGAAAATTCCTCAACCTTTTGGGATTTTGGCAAAAAAATCTTGCAAAATATACTGATTTGGTGTAAATTTTATTTTTTGGGAAAACTGCATGATTCAAAAGGAAATTTCTATTGAGAAGCAATTTTGTTATTTTTTTTACATAGAAGTTATCATAGGAAAAACTTAAAATTTAATTGGATATCTAACAGAACAGTGTGGTCAAACTGCACAAGTGTATGAGATAACCGGATTTTATACTGGTGATATAAATAATCTATTGTCACCAGACTCAATACTACATTACATGACAATATACAGCTTCATAAGTTCATATATCCGGGAATATGACAGTATCTGGTACACGAAAATGCATTGTATGCAACAAACATTATTAAACATTGAAAAGCTTTGAATACAAATCACAATATTATGCATATTTATAAATATCTACAGACATCAGTTTAAAGCATCCAGATGAAAGTTCACCTAAAAGAAAATAAATTTCTATCAAACAAACCAGTGGTGACATGTTGTTATATCTTACATTAGATTTTGATTTTTTCTAAACATTTTTGTGATTTTTTTTTATGTTTTTTTTTTGGCATTGTGAAGAGGCCTTATTTCGGGGTCAAAATCAACCAAAAAAAATCACTGATTTGATATACTAGTATTTATGCCAGAAAGAATATTTAGGCTAGATCACCCATCATATGCAACAGCAATGGTTTAATAATTTGAACAGATTTGCAAATGCATACATGAACAAACAAATTTACAAATTTCTTTTCATAAGTGAATTAAATCCTTAAAAAATATTACTCCATTCAAATATTAGATTATTTAAGAAGATCATAAAAATTATACATATTAAGAGTTCTATTCACATATCCAAGATGATATTTCTATAGTTCTAATTTGTGATACATGTAAAAGACAGGTTCAGGTATAGATACTATAAATATCCGACCCGTAACCAAGTTGTTTACATGATTCTAGGGTATCTTTTTATAAAATATATCACTTTTTTAAACATGTTCCTTAGTACAATAATATTGCTGTTGTAGTTTTAAAGAATCATACATAGCAAAATGGTTTTCTTGCAATATCTATGGAATATGGAAATTCTATTGTTGTGGCAAAAAACAACAACATTGCAACATTGATGTATTACACCAGAATGATATATCTATCTTTCTAACAAATGATTTAGGTTACATGATAAATGGGTCTATGTTATATCAATGACTTCCAAACATTTTGTCTACATCTTAATATCTTAGAACTGCACCTTCTCTTAAAGCATCAATGCACAATTAAAACTGCACGCCTCCAGATGAGCCAAATAATTTCAAGAAAATCAATATTGAGAAAAATGCACTAAACATTTAAAAGAAAGATAAAAACCTTCTAGATCCAAGTTATATTTTACATGTTATGTGTGGTTTAAGACTGATTTTTTGCAGTAATTTATCACCATATTTCTACTGCCTTACTAATGCACTAAGGGCTGTTTTGCATATGTTGACCACTTTTTGTAAATTTTTGTGGCTTGTAAGTGTAAATTATCTTATTTGTTCACCTCACAATATTTTACTTTTAAAAACATTTCCAAAATTTTCATGAAAATTAACTTGAATCTGGAGGTGTGCTGCTTTAAGAATACCTATATATTTGTTTTGTTTGGTTTTATGGCGCACCAACACAATTTATGTCATATGGCGCCAAAACAGGAAAGATGATTTTGGCTAACCCCTGATATTACAAAATTTAAGCACCACCAGGGATCAAAACCACCCCACCTGCTGGAGCTAAGAGATGCATAGCCTCCAGTAATTTAAACCCATTATGTCGCCTCTTACAATCAAGCAGGGATAAACGGTGGCCTAAAACCTTAAAGTTAACCCCTCAGCCACATATGGTAAGACTTTTATAATATGGTTTTGAGTTTGACTCTAAATATTGTAAAGAATTTAACTTGTTATTAAGGCAATAATCCTGTATATATGTGTCAAACATTTCAGGAGAGTAATATTGAATATTTCAATGCATAAAATGCATTTGGATATACATGTATATGGAGTAACCATTTAATGCATGCGTACTGAACATTTCATACTAACATCCTCAACATTTTAGGGAAAATTTTCAGAATAGTACAGATAAGACAAAGATCAGCCTGAACATTTTTGCCATCCTTTCATGGCCTGCACTGGTTACATTGGTATAATCAGATGCTGCCGGCAAGCAAACAGTTAACATTGTTTCTGTCATAAACTAACTTGCAGTAACCTGACACACATTCCTAGAATCTGTACCATGACTGACATATATAAAGGAAGTAAAATACAACCTCTTTGACACATAAATGACTAAAAATGTAAGAGCAGGAGAAATGGTATTTGAAAAGTAAACCAAGTCTGAAACAACTAGAATTGTGTCTATTTACGTTCCCATTTCATTTGCCTTTCACAGTGGCATATCTACATAGTTATGCTCAGTTTTATTAACCAATGACTGAGGTAACTCTAATTATTGATTAAATATGGATTTCACATTGAGTGTCACTGTGACCTTGACCTGTGACCTCAAAATGAATCTGCTACTGGGCTCATGGGCAATGTCCCTACCAAGTAAATCAAAACCAC